CCTAAACCCTAAACCCTAAACCCTAAACCCTAACCCGAATTCCCTAAACCAAAAGCCCGGAATCCCGAAGCAGATTTTCTACGTGCGAGGCTCTTGGCTACCCTCGACCAGCCGGGGAAGTCGCGCACTGCAGCGAGGCCGATGCGGGCCACGAAGTGCCAACCCACCATGCCTCAGTTACCAATACTTGTTTTACCATTGTGATTACTACGATTATTTCCACTGCTATTACTACAATTGTTACTATTGCTATTACTGATATGAAGGCACCAAGATCCTTGTAATAGGGGTTAGAGTTCCGAATAGTGCCTGAATTGGCCACAGCCTGAATTAGAGCACAGTTGCATGTTCTATCTAGGACAGCTAGGAATATTTCTAAAATCTTAGCTATACAGGTTCGCGAAACCTCAATCCCCGAAATGAGGACTCTATCAGAGTTATATGTGATAGTCGCAGAGTAACCTGCTGTTACCACTACTCCCTTTTCAGTGGCCTTGTGGATACTTGCCTCCAAAGTTAACTTTAAGGGACTGGTCATAACTTACTTGAGTTGTCCCTACACAGCTCAGTTGCCATTTCTCGGGGTGCGAAAGCCCAACAAAATGGGGCCGTAGCATCGTTCGGGTTTAAGGTTAGCTTAGGGTAGCAAGTACATTCCCTACCAACTGCCGGTAAGCTGTGGGTCCTAAAGCTCAGATACAAGGACACTTTTGGGGGCTGGGGGTACCCAAATCCTCTTGCTGATGCAAACAAAACCGCAAGTCTGCCAGAGAGTAGTTACATGTGAAGCTGTAGCAGGGGAATACTTAGTGCGATACTTTCCTGGAGCAGCATCGTAGCGATCTTGCCTAGTGTTCCTGGCAAAAGCAGTGACAGCAAGAAGGATATCGTTATTACGGTTGTCATGACCTGCCAGTCACTGGGAAAAGCATCCCGTGCACAACTCCCTCAACGTTTCTACGTCAATGTCCCCTGGACCCGACCTTGACCTTCAAAAGCCCTCGAACCATGTGAGCTACTGTCGAAACTCCAAGTTTCCCCTCGTTATAATTATACCTCCTATAATACTCCCCAATATATTCCCTTACATAACCCTCTTTTAAGGAGTTTAGACTACAGCTCATGCATAGCTACGCTGGCAGACTTCACTGCTGGCTGCAACAGGGTGGCAGCTGGAAACGCCTCGGCCGCTTTCCAAGAGCCATGCCTTGAGACGCAGCTTCAGGTCCCAGATGGCTCCGGGTATTAGGGTTTAGGGTATTAGGGTTTAAAGTTTAGAGTATCAGGGTATTAGGGTTTAGGGTTGGTTCACGGCTCTCTGCGTAAACACTTCTCTATACTACTGGGCTCAACTACCATACCACAAGCCTACACTAATCAAGGCGGCACCTTGTGAGGAGAAATATGAAAAGGAGGGTAAGTCGTGATACATCCTACAAAGTCAACCTTAACGAGACGGATGCAAAATGGATAATTGAATAGAAGCCGGGTATTATATATGTATACACACGCACAAGGAATGAGTGCTTAGGTTCTAGGTAGGTACATGGTGAAAGACTAGAGATATCTAGCATGGACCATTTAAAGGGCTATAGGATATTGCGTGGTCATATCTTGGCTGTTCCCTACTAATTGCAGTTCAGAGAATGTACCTTGCTGCTGCAGAGTGGCAAGAAAGTTTCAGGGTTGGGCTGGGGTTGGGCATGAGCAAGGTCACACTGACCTGTAAAAGCCTAGACACTGAACATAAGTGAGCTAACAGACCAATAACGCGAACAAAGCAGTGGCACCAACAGTGCGAGTGAACGTAATTACAAATGGCCTCTACTTTTGTGGCAGGTGGAATGTTCACCATCATAGCCGCCATTAGGGTTTAGGGTTCAGGGTCAATACTATCACGCTTACACAGTTACTAGTAGTACTATTGTCACTACTACTGACCAATGCTGCTATTCTTACCTATTTCAGACCTGCCACCGGCACCACGGTGTCCAGCGTGGAGATTGCTTCTCGCTCCTTCAGCGCCACGTTGTGGGACCTTGTTTACACTACGGTTCCCAATGGCCCAATGTAGGTTATGTCCATAGGCTGTAGGGCCCAATGCTGTAGACTTAGATCCCCAGGATTAGGTCTTACGCTTTGGGCTTGTAGGTTTCGGGCTTCCGGTTTCAATGGCCATAGTAGAATTCTGTCTCCTCCTTGGCGAGACTGGATCTAAACTCTAAACTCCAGACTCCCACGCTAAACCCTAGACCCTAAACTACAAACTCTGAACCCCAAACCCTACATGGCTCATACGCAGGTTGCCAACCAAGAGGCTTCTCGAGGAGCAACTGGCGAAGGGTCGCTCCCTTCTTCAGGTTGGTTTCCAGCGCGTCCATGGTTAGCAGGTCCTGAAGAGGGTTAGTTCTAGGGATGAAAGCCTTATGGTTCAGGGTTTTGCAGGTTATTGTGCGGTCAGGGATCTAGGGATTAGATGGAGTAGGGCTTTTGCGTTCAGCGTTTAGAATCTTTAATTCTTCAAGGGGCTTGGGGTTCTTAGGGATTAGATGGATTAGGGCTTTAGTGTTCTGCATTTAGTTTTTGGGGGCGCTTTGGGGAATTGGGTTTTGGGTTGCCGGCGAGACCTCGGTAGTGGAGTCGGGTCTGAAGGAACAAGATGAATCTCTAACTACCGGGATCCAATTAGTTGTTGAGGTTCTTGCCATTTGGGCGTACTACGAAGGCTCTTGCAAGGGTGTGGGCAGCATTCCGGAGGTTTTAGCATGGCAAGACTTGCCCTCTGCTCCATAATGCGTCACTCCGAGTGCCGGGTGCGTACTACGTGGGTTAATGGGAGTAACTGGGCCTATTACATAGCTCATGGGGATTCTAAGTATACTTCTGGACTTACTAGGCCCCCCTGACCTTCTGCCCATTGCAGCTCCTCAAGTGCCGGCATCTGTGTGTAGAGCGGCAGCACCACAACGAAGATAAAGTGCTTCACGCAGTAGTCTGCCGCAGGGTCCAGGATGGTGGGATCCTGCTGAAGCCCTCTGCTTTACACAAGATAAGGGGGTTTCCGGAAATTATGGGTGCCTTTAAAGGGATTACAGGGGATATATAGGGTTTAGGGATTAGGGTTCAGGGTTTAGGGTTCCCTAAGTTATGGGTACCATTTTGTGGGGTCCCCATAATAAGAATTTGACTATCTGAAAGTCTCTGTCGGGGTCCCCCTATGTTGGGAAACTACCACAAAAAAAAAAGGAGCTTCCAACATAGGGGGGGCCGACTGTATACCCCTTGCAGTGTGGAAGACCCAGAAACAGGCCCTGTTGTTCAACCCCCCTATGTTTTCAACATATGCCTGGGAAACAGTCCCTGGGCTCGCGAAACTTAGTTGTAGCTGGTTCTTGCAGGGCTTAAAGCTAGGAGTTACACGTGTACCTCCCCAAATGCACCCCCGCTAATTCAGAACCCTATTAGGCCTCATTCAGCTCCATATAGTTCTTCTTAGCTCCTTGAACTCTGGGAGGAGGGTACATTTGGGGGGGGGGTTGTATTGTAACTCCTAATAAAGTGAGCACCAGTCCTGTAGCCATCCCCTAAACCCTGAAACCCTAAACCCTGAAACCCTAAACCCTAAAACCCTAAACCGTAAAACCCTACAACCCTAAACCCTTAAACCCTAAAACCCTAAAACCCTAAACCCCACCAGTCCTGTAGCCATACGTGCCTGAGGTAGAAGCAGCTCCAGACAGGGCTCTTGCTCTTTGCGATGAAGAGCCTAGGCTGCGATTACTGGGTTGCTGTTAAGTAACTTAAATTAAGTTACCATAATGGGTATATATATATATAGAAATTTATAGGGTTTCCCCAATATAGTAACTTAGATTAAGTTCCTTAACAGCAGCCCGGATTAAGTTACCATCCATGGAGGGTCGGGAGGACTTCGTAAGTAGGCGAATACTTCCAGGCCCATGAGACTTAGTGACTACTTATAACTGGGATTATAACCCTTCTTATCATTGGGGTAACCCCTATAAGCCCATTTAAGGGGGTTATAAGTAAGGTTATAAGCCCAGTTATACGTGGTTACTAAGTCCCATGGGCCTCCAACAGTAATCCTAGTTATCCTAATTTTTGACCTAATTACTAAGTCCCCATGACCCTCCAAGTAGTGGGGTCCCTTCAAAAGCCTTATGAGGGTTGTATAGGGGTTCTGTGATTTAGCGTTTTGGGTTTCTACAGGGCTGAAGTTACCATGGTGGTTACACAGACAGAGGGTTATGAAGCGATGGAACTTCCGCTCGGTCACCAAACCATGGCGGCCAGGAAGACCGGTTGTGTCCTAAAAATCCACATGTTCAGAGGTTTCAGGCTTGTACCCCTAGGGTCGTACCTCTGACCTTTTGGATGTTTTTACGGGACTCTAGGGGACTACATGGGCTCATCTAATGGCAATATTAAGGCCATATTAGAGAAACCTTTTAGGGGTACGACCTTAGGAGTACAACCCTGGAACCCTTGAGATTCTGGTAACTTAATTAAAGGCCTTCAAGCCCCTACATGGCCCCTACACAGTTACATCTTCCGTTTTCACTGCCACCTGATTCCCCATGATGCCCACTAATCCCTGAGCCCCTAACCCCAGAAACTTAAAACCTGAAACCTCAGAACCTCAACCCCTAAGCCTAAAACCCAGAACACCTAAATCCCCAAAGCCTAAAACCCTAAACTACTACCTAAGACCCTCAAACCCTCAACCCCAAGACCCTTAACATCGTTTAAGTCCCTTAACATCAACCCCTTAGCCCCTAACCATTACTAATCCTATATATCCCCAATATAACCCCTACATACTCCCATATAAACCCCCATATACGTGTAGTTTCCATTTTATTTTCCATTATCCCATGATAACCCCAATATAACCCCCAAAACCCCTAAACCCTAAACCCTAAACCCCAAACCGCAAACCCTAAACCCCAAACCCTAAACCCTAACAGCAACCCAGGAGCCTTAGTAAGCTCAGCATGCGGCAGGGGGACTCATCATCCTTGGACCTAAGAATATGGATGTACCATTGGGTTTAGGGTTTAGCGTTTAGGGTTTAGGGGTTGGGGTATATTAGGGTTATATTGGGATAATGGAAAAGAAAATGGAAACTAGAGGGATTATAGGGATTACATAGGGATTATATAGAGTGCGCACTTCCAGGGTTTAGGGGTCTCAGGGATTTAGGGTTTAGGGGGCTCAGAAGTTTAGGGTTTTGGGGTCTCAGAAATTTAGGGTTTAGGGTTTAGGGTTTTGGGGTCTCAGAAATTTAGGATTTAGGGTTTAGGGTTTTGGGGTCTCAGGGATTTAGAGTCTTTAGATTGTCTGGTTTTTTGAGGGTCTAGGAGGGGCTTTAGGATCTGGAGTCAAAGGTTCTAGGGTTTCCTTTCTTTGGGGGATTGTCCACAGATTGCGGAGGTTCCCGTGATGGGTTATCAGCCATTCTTCGAAACTCAAAAAGGAACCCTCAATCCCAACTTCCTAGCTGTAAGATTACTGGGGGTTAGTAGGGAATAAGGGAATACTTAAAAAGGATTATATGTATATGTATATGTATATAGGGATCATATTCTCTCATTCCCTACTGACCACCAGTTTTTGTTTCAGAAAGCCAAGAGGCATACTGTATGTATGTATAAAGGGATTATATTCTCTTTTTCTTCCCTACTGAGCCCTACTGACCATCAGTAAGTTTCAAAATACCTAAGCCCTAAACCCTAAACCCTAAAGAAAGCCAAGAGGCGGCTTAGGCTGTCCAACCCGCTTCCGCTTGGGACTGCTTGAGCGGGCCGAGCGGTCGAGGAAGTCGCTGGCTTTGAAATCCCAACAAACCTTCTCAAAGTGATTTAGGGTTCAGGGCTTTAGGGTTTAGGGTTCAGGGCTTTAGGCTTTAGGGTTTAGAGGGCTCCAGATTTCGTGATTTTGTGGTTTTCAGTGGGGTTTCGCGTAGGTTCAGAATTTCAGGCTACGAAGTGCACCCCAGGCACACGCGTCGTGCAAATCGTCGGCCTCAGTTCGCTGGGGGCTGGTACTTGGAGGGTCAGGGGGACTTAGTAAGTAGGTTAATAATTAGGATACCTAGGGTTACTATATGGGTTATACGGGTTAGTAACCTACTTACTAAGTCTGCCTGACTCTCCAAGTAGCATCAAGTGTTCCATCTGCTTTGCACACATAGTTTCTTCAACATGGCAGGGATCTGAAGAAGAGAAATTCCAACTGCGGTTCAGAGCAAGAACGTAAAGGCTGCTACAGATCGCTACGTGCAGTCCAAGCCACGTAGTTGGTGCATCCTTGTTCTGGTTGCAGCAGAATTCGTCGATTCTAGCAATCTCCTGCCGTGCCAACGCTAGCCTTCTGCCTGACGCCTCGAAACCGGCCTGGAAAAACTCCTTCAAAGCAAAGCCAAAATACTGTTAGTAGTACTCTTGCTACTATCATACTAGTAGTATTACTGGTACTATTGCTGGTGCTATTGCTCTTACTGGTACTGTCGGTGTTCATACGCTAGCCATTACAAATCACAGAGGCAAGCCTGCAAGAGCTGGAAATCAACCCTTCTCACTCAGGATACTGTAAGTGCTACTGTCGTTTTGTGCTGAAGGCCTTGCTAATTGCCCAGGTGCTCTGAAATTGAACCCAGCTGTCAAGCTAGTTTCTGCAACTATAACTACTAAGTCTCGCTACGGGTGTGGTTTTGCCCGTCAGAAAGAATACGCCAACTCCCTGTACTAATACTGCAGCAAGCGGAACTTTTCCAAGATTGCCATAATTTGCGCTTCTTCTCCATCATCCTTCAGCACTGATGTGTCCTTACAACTAATCTCATTTGCCCCCCTCCCCTTACGTTAACCCCACCTCCCATGACATTACAGACTCCCAATATAGTATAACACACCACAATGGGTAGTATTTCATATTAGGGGGGTGGGAATGTTTGATATTAGGGGGAGGGGTTTAGTCTCCCGAGTCCTGGCCATTGAAGACGCGGTTCTCTGTGGCATCGGGCAAGAGCAAGAAGCGGAAATGGCGGCCCAGGGCCCAGGCGCGGAAGTAGCCGGTCAAGTCCTCCAGACCTTCTTGGGATGTTTTACCCTAAGCCCTAAATCCTAAACCCTAAACCTTCAAGGTACTTAGATCTAGGTATTGTGTTCAAGGTCTTCAGGGCTTAGGGCCAGGGTTGAGGACTTCGGGCATAGGAAGGTAGGGCCTCGTTTCATTAGAACAAGGTTTTGGGGATAGGCTATACCATCAACTACATGAGAACCACGAGGGAATGGTATTGTGAAGTATTCAGGCTTCTGTATTATTCAGGCAATCTCAGCAAAATGCCAGGTATCCAGAATTCTCACAGAACCATGTAGCGAACTTTCGGGGGGCGGATCATGCCTGCAAGTACTTGCTGGCTGCTAATAACGAAGGGAGGAGTGGAAAAGAACCTGGCAACTGGCATATCATTGGGGATTATCTGTGCTATATGTATCCATTGCTCCATTCACTACTAACGAACTGCGCGTTTAGGAGTCATGCCTTGCGACATCTAAAGAATTGCTTGATGCATCTGGGAGCTTAGCGAACCCTTTCAAAAGATGAGAACATCGGGGATCCTGGGATTATGTTGTGTAGAAATTGTGACGGGAACGCTTGGGGCTTGCTGATTAGACCGATATTGGACTTATGTTGAGAATCTCCCATGTGTGTCCTGTGCAACACTGTTGGCCTAGACCTGCCCGCCTTCAATACGGATGCCCGTCTCAACGCTGCACACTACCAGTGACTTTCTCTGCAGTTTCGCTGCATTTGCCTGAGGATCGCACCCTGCGACATGTAGGTGATGGGGCAGTCAACCTCGTCCGGATCCAGGATCCTTGTACCCACAGACTCCGGTGCCAATACATAAATGTGCTTTAGGAGCGACATGTCATTTTTGGCAAGCCCTAATGCTTGGGCACTTGGACCCAGAAGGTAGCGACAAAGCGCAACAACGCAAACGATATGAGCTATCTGCTCGCTACTTTCTTCTCTTTTTCTTGCAACTTCCAGTGGCTTAATGGCTGCGCGTAGGGACTATTCCCGGAATATAGTATATTCAGCTAATATCAATAGGGATTGCATTCTCCTATTCCCTACTAAGAACCAATAAAATGTTTTGGGCTAGCAGAATCTTGCTACTATTGATAGGAACACGCCTGCTTGGCCGGAGTATAATGGATAGCCATCATTAACAGCTTGGTGCCTAGGGGTATTTGTCGACTGTAGTATTCTTTACTGGTTGGTGCTCTATGGACTTTAAGGTTGTATGGGAAAATGAAGAGGAAATGGGGACTATGGGGTCCCTATCAAGGATTTCAGAGAAAACCCCCTCAACCCTAAAGCCTAACCCTAACCTCTCCCCTTCCCCCCTCTCTGCCCCCACCCCCCCTTCCCCGTCATTTGCAGCAGTGTTGGAAAGTTCGAGGATCGAAGTCTGCTAAGCTCGAGAGATGCCAACCAGCAGCAACGCTGCTACTTTTCCGCTCCGCTTGGGGTGTTAGGGGCCTGAAGGATTTGCCTGCGTGCCCTTGAGCAGAGCCTGAGTCCCAAGCCAAGTTTTGCCATCAACTGAGTTTGAATTAGGAGGACCCCCCCACCCTGTAGAAGCAGTAGAATAGGAATATAATAGGACCCGAATTTAATCCTTATCATCCCTTATAGTCACTATTACTGGGTGGGGGGTCTACCTAAGATGTGAATGACCATATGCCAGCTTAAGCCGAGACACATGAATGGCACCTCGTAGAATTTGTCTTTCCGATGCTGCCGATCACCTTTGCACATGCCCGGAGTACTTTCAGGGAAGCAGTCCATTGAAGCTGGCTGCAAAAATAATCACAGAGGGCTGTAGCTGCGGACCACTAGAAATGCAAGGAAGATCTGAGAGTGCAGCGCTAAACGCTGAAGATTGCAATCTGCATTCACGTATGGATCAACACTATCGCAGCAAACTGAGCCATTGCCCTGCAGAAGTGAACAAGAAACGAAGCAGAGTTCAAGCTCCCCTCTGCCGCAACAGCGCCCGTGCAGTTGAAGAAGTCTGAACGCCTTCTTCCGAATTCTTTTGAAGGCTACTCTCAACCACCCAAACGAACAAGCGGGGACCACTTGATAGCTACCGGATGGCCCCATTTCCACTGCATCACCAACTCCTCACTCTCCTTCTCCAGGACCTTGCAGGCACTGGGAATCGGCATGCGCAAAGTCATCTCACCCAGAGGGTCCAAGTACCCAATAATTAGGTCCTCTTTGAGGGATCTATAGGGTTTAGGGTCTAAGTACCCAGCAATTCGGTATTTGGGTTTTGGGTAATGGTAAATGTAGTGCAGGTTTTGGGCAAGTACATGATTGTTAGGTACTTGCACCCTTAGGGTTAGGAGTGGTATTGCGGGTGCCAGGCAGCAGGAGCGCTAGACCCAAAGCAAAGCATCGCAGTCAACACCAGGTCATCATTGCCAGGTTCAGCAATGCTGATTCTAAAGCCGATCCCTGTATAGTCGTGGTAGCTGTTAAGCTTTGTGAGCCACTTCCTTTCACAGAGCTCTTGTGTCTTGATATTGTTTCCTATGTATGCCACAGCTGCAGTTGATCTCACTAGGCTTTGCGCGTGGCCTGGCTTCACTTCAGGCCTAGCCACTCCTGCCACCAAAGGAAACCGCCTAAGCCCAGAACCTGATGCAACAAATCGTGGATGACCTTGTCCACAACTTACTGTACCAGTTTTTCCGTGCCATGAAGGTCGACTTGTAGGTAGAGATGATAGTCGGGACTGCAGCTAGAGGGCCTCGTTGAGTAATTTCCACAGACCGGGGGCCCTCCAAGTACATCGAAGAAAGGATCCTGAGTGCAGCGGACCCTCACCCCCAGCTCCATTTTGGAAGCTCTCACTTGAATTGCGAAAACTATTTCCCTCAACCTTAAACCCTAGGCCCT